ACAGGGGCGCGCCAAAAACCTTTAAGAAATTAGCAAAATATGCAGAAATTTCCAAACTTTTCTACTTTACAACTACCTGTATAGCAGCTAAATCATGCGCATGGGAAACAGCCTGATCCACCAGCCCAGAAACCTGCAGCCGCAAGAGGGAACCAGGGCAGGGAGTCTGGGAGGAGAAGATATTCCCTGGGGTTTCTTCCACTTCTCCCTTTTCTTCTGAGAGTGCTGCATTATTGGTGGGTCTCTCGATAAACCCCTCAGACCCTGTCACTGGCGGGGGGGGGAGATTGGGCACCCTGGCAACAGGCAGGGAGCCAAGCGCAGGGCTTGCTGCCAGTGGGACATGAGCCGTCCCCAGGCACCTCCGCTTCAGCTGAAGGAATTCAGAGATGCAGCGATGGGAGCAGACAGGCAGCGTGCAGACAGAAAGCAAAGGTCAGGGAGCCTCCTAGAAGGGAGGAGTACGCGCAGATCTCACCTTGCACACACAACCTCTGCTAGTTTCTTTTCTCCTTAAATCCAACACAAAACCAATTTTGCACTTACAGCGTCAAAACCTGCTTTTTGCTTCCAGGACAGAAGCAGCTCAGTTAACCTCTGCAGATCTCTGTGTTGTGCCCTCCGAGACCAAGCTCACGAAGATGACGACTTGATGAGCCCTTTCCTGCTCTCAGGTCAGCTGCTCTGCCACGGTCCCCCTGCTCCCTGCCTTCCTCATGAAGACACAGAGCCTCCTCCCGCGTCTCCTGCCTGCTCGGGAATGACTCTACTCAAACACAGTATTTGTACTTGAAATAAATCAACATTTAATATTTTACACTTACTTTAAAAATTCTTTGAACAGTATTTTACAGATCAGCACAGACATGACACAGATTTGGTGAGGCTGCACGTATGTACAAGGATGACCTGAAAGAACCTCGGACTTCTTTCATTTCCAGAAAGCATCAGAGGTCAAAACTTTAGCCGGGATTATGAGTCCCCAGAGTCTGTACTTGTTTTTCTCTATGAGATGGAAATTCTCTTCTCTGGCATTTCTGTGGGGCCAGCTGAAATCAAGGAGCTTTATATCGTTAACAGCAGCAGGGATATATTTAGCCACGGATATCAAGATCACAAATAGCAATGTTTGGACAGGATAAGGTGCTATTTTAAAGTATTGAACAAAAAAAACAGCTGTCCAATTTCAGCCCCATTTGAGAAGACGCACACAAACCTGTTTGGGAAATGAAAAGTCAGTGGGAAAACTTTTTCCAAGTGCATGGAAAGAACCATTAAAATCTGTTCCTGATCCCATGAGCCTATTGGACTTCAAATACTGATGTGCAGAAGTACACAGAAGTGACCCCACCGTGCGCTCCCACATTGCCCACCAGGCACCCCGTGAGAGAGGGGAAAGCCCACCACGACCTGGCAGTGGCTTCGTGTCCCTGCCAAGTCCATGCTGTGAGCAATGGACGGACACGGCTCCATGCATGTAGGAAAAGATGGGTGCTCCTGGAGTCGGTGCATGGCCAGGGAAGGTGGGTCTTTGCTGAGAGTCCAAGCTGGCTTTGCATCGTGGCGGAGCCAGAGCTCCTGCTTATGTTCAAGTGATGCTTCACCCCGCACGAGGGTCTTTTCTTGGAGTCCACAAGGCAACACCATCCTTGGGATGGTTTATTCAAGTAGAAGGATGAAGCGCAGAGGCCTCAGGAGCATGTTCATGTCTCGCTTTTGCTCATCTCTGGCCATTGCCAGAAGCTGCACCCAGAGCTGCTGAGGACACCAGAGACAGCTTGCACCTTCTCAACGCAAGATGTTCACCACTCAGAGCAAGTTGACCCCAAACAGAGGCAGTGGGGACAGAAAACAGGTCCAGCAGCCCATGGAGCCAAGATCAGAGTCGCCTGCACAGGAGGGATCCCCTAAACACTTCCAGGATGTAGAGGAATCCAGCAGACAAGCCTGACTCATGTGCCGCAGAGACAAACTGAAGACCCCACAGGCTCTGGCCCTTTTCCTGGCAGATTTAACCTCAAATGACACTGCTGCTGTGCTACCAGCCCTTGGGGACAGAGCCCTACCTTGTTCTTACTAGTGCTAAGAGCTGACCAGGTCCTGTTTTCTGGAGAATCGAGGGACCCTCATTGAACTGATCACACTGTGGCCGAGCCCTGCATCCCCCCACCAGTACTGGGGGTCTCTTCCAGACATTTTCAGGCAGCACATGTCCTCAGCATTAAGATGCTTCTATAGCCTCAGCAGACAGCATGCTCTTCTGCCTGTTATCGTTAGTGCCATCACCAAAAACTACTGAGAAACAGCTTGAGGGCTATGAAATCAGGCAAGGCTTTTCCAGTCTCAGTTTTGCTCCCAGGGTCAGAATACCTCTAAACACCCCCAACTATTGCACCTTTCTGTACCTACAGCCTTGCAGAGAGAATGAAGAGGACGGAAAGCCTCTTTGCAGGGGAGGGGGCATCTCAAATCCTATCGTCGCTTGCAAGTGTCACTAGTGTTTTTGGTGCTAGGTCCTTCTCTAGCAAAGCTGCCTCTTCAGGTAAGCTTTAGGCAATCCTAGTGGTTTTCCTAGTACTTCCCCTCTCTCCTACCAACATGACCGTAGTTCCTGCCACGCTTCAAGCAACCATCAAGGATTCAGCCTCGGGGATGTCTCTAGCATACAGTGCTGGGGAGCAGGACGCAAGAACATGGGCTGAACAGGGAGTACATCTCCTGGATGAACTCCAAAATTCTACAGAAACTGTGAAGTTCATCTCCTGCAGGTCCTGGATTTACAGTAAACATATGCACACATTACAAGCTGTCCATGCCCTGGTATGGCCTACTGCACTCAATCCACTGGAACACAAGCAGCTGTCTACAACTCATATTGGGGTCTTTATGGACCTCAGCTGGATCACTCTGCTCTGCACTGTCTCTCTGCAAGGCACCCAACCTTCATAATTTAAAGGAAACATTGAGAAAGCCTGTCTCCATCCTGAAAGAACTGTCCTGAGCATCCTCGACCTGTTACAGGCAAAATGCCATCAGGACTTCGGCTGGGCGGTGTGCAACTCTGCATGCGTTGAAGGCCACCTACCGCCACCCAGCCAAGGACATTCATTTTCCAAAATGTCCCTCTACGAGCTCCTCCCAGACCACGCTGGCCTTGCACTCACTGTGAAGTACATTTGCTGGCAGGAAAATACCACTATTTTTGTCTTGCCCACTCAGTCCAGGTGTTGTCAGTCTGCTG